ATTAGCAACTCTCACAAGATTAGGGTTTTGTAAGCCAAGGTAATTTATCTCTCTTAAGATTTCTGAGCCTTAAAAATTACAATTTTTGAACTGAAGCTCTTTAAATACCAAGGTAACACAGTTTATATGGCAAGTACAGTCCATGGAGAAACTGGGAACTTCAGTATCCTGAATAGTGCAGTTTTACAGAATCTAAGTCAGTTTATAAGATCTTTCCTATTAAGTAGCTTATTTTATCACAGTAATTACAGCAGGGAACAGGAGGATTGATTGTCACAAGGAGACATTTATAAGAATGAAAGGTGTACAGTTAATTCTTACCACAGTTTCTCCCGATACTTAAAGCTTAACAAGGTTAGCAAAAACACACAGGACAAGACATGCGTCTCTAAGTCAGCTTTTGTTAATGTCAGTAGACCCTTGTATCCATAGGAATAGCCATTGTAACCACTGAGTATTCTGTCTTTTAAGTCATCCTTTATAAGTCCTGTTTAGCCAGACAGTGGTGGTGCATGCCTTTAATCCCAGCACTTGAGAGGCAGAGGCAGGTGAATTTCTGAGTTCAAGGCCAGCCTGGTTTACAGGATGAGTTCCAGGACAGCCAGGACTATACAGAGAAACCCTGTCTTGAAAAACCAAAAAGAAAAAAAAAAGTCCTGTTTAACATAGACCTACTGTGACTTAGCTTTAAGCTTTTATAGTTTTGTCTCTTTATCTGATTTATTCTATCTAAAAGGATTTTTCCTTTTTATTAGAAATATAACTTCAAATTTATATCTTTTATTATCTCACTGATCCTGAGAAAGAATTTTAGAGACAGTAATAACCTTGAATGAGAGAGCATTCTGTATAAACAAGAACAGACAAGGAGGTAGAGTACTCAGAGAGCTAAACATTTATAATTGTAGTTTTAGACAGCAAACTATTTTTATAGTCCGGGGAAACATCCAGTTATTTTAAACTTTACATATAAATCACCTTGACTAGACAATTTAAAAATGTAAGCATCAACCTGAGTGTGAGTGTACATCTTTAAATCCCAGCACTTGGGAGGCAGAGGCAGGCTACTGATTTCAAGGCTAGCCTGGTCTATCGAGAGAGTTCCAGAACAGCCAGAGCTACACAGAGAAACCCTATGTCGAAAAGAAAAAAGAAAAAAGTTAAATACCATGAGACATAACCATAACAAATAAATTTATCATGTGCTGTAAGAAATTCTCCCTAAAAGGGGTGTGTGTGTATGTGTGTATCTATTCTTCACTGAAGCTTCTACCATCTAAATATAGCAGCTTTCCCAAAGCTATGTAAGTGTTCCCCTTCTCTCCTCCCTACCCCCCCCAGTTTTTCCTAGTCCTTATATCCTATCTCCAGAAACCTTCAGGCCTCATGCAATTAGAGCCTGGATATTCAGGTGAGGGTACCCTGACCTTGACTGTCTCCTTGAAGGGATATTAACATTTAACTAGTGCAGCTGTGATTATTTTAGTAGACACAGCTGGAGTTCTGAAGATGACCCTTGTTTAGCTAGAATGTATTATGCATCGTCACTTTAATAAAGGGACGACTTACGTCATATATAGAGCTTTAATTCATGTTTACATCATCTAACAGAATCTAGCGGAGGGAGCGATGTGTTGCTGGAGTTACTATTGAGAGATCCTCCCCATGTGTAAGTTTCCCACTATCTATTTTATTATAGGCACTTTTATACAATGAGCTAATAATAGTAGCCTCTTTTGGACATAACCATTTAGCTGGTAACACACAGTGACTTTTTCCTGGGCTGTTCTGTTTCTGTTGCAGAGTCAGGGGCCAGCCTGAAGTGGGCAGGCCAAATCTCCTTCAGAGCCAGTTTGGGACTTTTCCAACATTACCCATAAAAGGTATTTGTTTCCCTATAAGACAGAGGAGCCCAGTGATCTACATACCCATAAGGAGTTTGTGGGTGTCTGTAGAAAACAGAGGAAGCAGGCTTTGGAGAGTCAGTGCCAAGAGTGAGTGTGTTCAGACCTTCAGTCCCTCTGGAGAGCACAGCAGAAAAACTGGCTATGCACAGAGGCCACTCTGAGATAGGCGTCCCTGGCTAGCAAGGATGCCTGGGGTCTTGGCCAGTGTTTAACCCGGGAAGGGCTCAGTGGAGAAGACTCTGGCCCATTGGAGTAACTGGCCAAAGGAGCCCTTCCTTTTCTTTTTAAAAAACGCAGGGCCATTTACTTGTTCTGAGCAAGATTCAAAACTCCTTCCTCTTTATGAAAAAGGAGCCCCAAGTTTTAGTTGCACCTTTTGTTTCAGAGAGAGGGGAGGCATAGGGAGGGAAAGAGAAGAGGAGAGAGCGGGGAGGGGGAGAGAGGGAGAAGGAAGAAGAGGAAAAAGAAGAGGAAGGAGGAGGAGGAAGAGGAGGAGGAAGAAGAGGAGGAGGGGGAGGGAGAGGAGGAGGAGGAGGAGGAGAAGAGAGAGAAAGAGAGAGAGATGAGCATAGATGGAACAGGCTTCAAGGATGAAAGTGGGTTTGCTATCTAGTTTATATGGCACAGTCCAGCTGAACAGGCAGCTAATCTTCTCAAAGTTCTTTCTCCCCTGCTTGGGGACAAAGGGGGTCTCTGCCGGAGACTTCTCCTGGCTGCCAGAGAGACAGCACCTTCACTCACACATTCAATCCAAGGGCACAGCATTCCCTCCCACTGTTTCTTAATGGGAAACCTTACTGTCAGCTCTCCTAGGAAGCTTCTTTAGGGCTTGTTCTGATCCCTCTTCTCCCCTATAGGGGTGGGGCCTGGTTGAGACCTGGGGCCAGTCTTGCCATTTTACCTTATCCTGCTGTTTCCTGTTGAACTTTTCTTGTGTTTGAATGAACCTGGACCATTGATCAGAGTCAGGAGAGTTTGGAGTGCCCTCAGAGGAAGTTCTAGAACTAGGTTGGGTACACTCTCCCAGGACTCCTCTCCAGCCATTTGAACCCTTCCCAGCCACACAGAGCTGGTGTAGAAGGTCACACTGGGACCCTCCATGTTTGTTTGAGAAATAACCTGCTTTCCCAGTGAGGACTCGCTCCACACCTAACTTAGAGAGTAATGAAGGAAAAGCTCTGTAATAGCACTCTTCCAGCTCTGGCTGATGTCTAAAGGTGAACTGGCTGGGAAGAGAAGAGTTCAGTAACATATACACTGGAGGCTAGTGCATTTTGTATATGCTGTCATTAAATCTGGTTTAGGTCTTGGATCCAGGTTACACTCTGAACGATTAAGAGACTGTAAGTCTGGCTACTTAGGCAGATGGGAGATTGATACAGCAAAGATATTGCTAGAATTATTTAAGTACTTTTTTTTCTTTTTTTCTCAAATAGTTGTTACCGAGGGTCATCTTGCCCACCCGGCAGAATTATGTTTTTATTGATAAGAGCACAAGGGACTTTTGTGGTAGACTAGGACTTTGTATGATTTAATGTCTCCTAAGTAAATCCATTAGCAAATTCTGAAAGCATCAATTCTATTAATTTGAATTTCCTCTTCATCAATATCAATATAGAAATTACTATTTCAAAATAATTTTTCCAAGAAAAAATAACCTTTTACTCAACCATATTTGATGTTTTAACTAAAGTTGCCTTTGTTGCTCCTTCCTCTCTAGAACAAAGAAAACAAAAACTCAAGGAATATCTGTTAATACGAAAAACAATGTTTCCATACAAACAAGAAAATCAGATATCCAGGTGAGGTCAACTTTAACTCAGTTCTGGAGAATTCCATTAGAGCTGTGCACTAAGAACCTAAAATGCATCTGGTCTGTAATTTTCACTTTCCTACTAACCACATTTAACTTTAAAATGAAATGAATTTTGACACTTAACCCAGTTATGATTCCAGATAGTATCATTATTAACATGTAACATTTAAAAGTATTATGAGGTCTGGAAATGTATTTTAGTAGTAGAATGCTTGCTACACCTCAGCACCACAAAAGAAAAAAATATTATGGCATTATACCCTCTATTTTGGTATCAAGTCTTCAGAGTCCTGGTGTGTCAACACTGAGCACATCTCGGTTTGTACAGTGGCTACTTTATGTAGGTGATACACTAGGTCACCATTTTGCATATACGGTCAGATTCTTAAAGGGAAGCAGTTAATTTTTGTTCACTTACTTGTGAGTGTGTATTCAAGGTACCATACACATGTGCAGGCCAAAGTAGCCTTCAGGTGTATGTGCTCTGTGAATGAAATTGTGGCAGTCACCTGCATCTCCTGAGCCATCACGGGTCCAAGAGAAAAGATTTTTTAGAGCAAAGTGTATGTATATGTACTGAAATACTGACTTAGGAGCTATCCTGTCCTGTCAACATCTGTGTTTGGTTTTGAAAGTCTGCATTCTAAACACTCAAGTCTTCAAACGAGAAGAAACGAGTTTCTTCTGTCCCCGAGTACATATCATGGGTTGGTACCACTGCAGCTAAGATAGATAATTTCATGTGTCTTTTAGGCTACAATACCCAGTTGTTTGGTAAAACAGTAGCCTAGATGTTGCAGTAAAAGAATCTTTTAAGGCTTAGTGTAGTGTCGCTTGCCTTTAGTCCCAGCACTCAGCAGAAGCTGGAGGAAAGCCAGCCTGGTTTACAGAGCTGAGTTCTAGATAGACTCTGTCTCAACAAACAAATGCAAAACAAAACAACAAATCTTTTAGGTGTAACTACTATTTGGATCAGTGACTTTGAAGACACCAGGTGCCCCTCTGTGTAGGTAGACTTTATCCAGTAGAAAAGCAGAGTTTGAGGATATTGATCTTACTCTGTAGTCGGTAGGAATTAAAGTTTTACTAGCTATAAGAATAACAGATTTTGTGGGGCTGTGGTGGCACACGCCTTTAATCCCAGCACTTGGGAGGCAGAGGCAGGCAGATTTCTGAGTTCGAGGCCAGCCTGGTCTACAGAGTGAGTTCCAGGACAACCAGGGCTACACAGAGAAACCCTGTCTCGAAAAACCAAAAAAAAAAAAAAAAAAAAAAGAATGACAGATTTTGTCAGTTCTACCAAGTAACACTATATACACATTTCAGCATACACTGAATTTGAGACTCTGTTTTAGAATTACTGTTGTGTCTAATTGACAATATTTTATTTCCTACCTTGATTTTTACACACAATTGGTATCATTTTGCTAAGGGTAGTCAGATATTATACTAGTCTATAGCTAAAAAAATAACTGGGCCAAGACTTTTAAACCCGTCTTATTTACCCCACTAACTATATTTTGCTTAGAATAACCAAATCTTAATTCATTTCTTGCTTCAACTTACAATTTAAGATTATGGGGCCTTGAATGAGCTCCGCAGTGGGTATTTATTTGCTTAGTTTATACACAAGGGCTCAGAAATTAATTATTAGATATTTTCTTGCCTCTTGCCTAAAAGCACATTTCTCTGTACAGAAATAATTGTTTTTTCTTTTGACTAATAGAGATCAGAAAGTGATGACATCTGAGGATCAGGTCCAAGAAGGGAAAAAAGTTGTGAAACTCAAAACAGAAGTGGTAAGATCTGTGTCTAGCCCTCAGACTTTCCCACACTCTTTATGAAGAAATAGGTTCTGAGATACTGATTTCTTTTAACTCTTCTAGGCTGATAAAGAAAATATTGGAAGTACAGTTGAAACAAACTGCCTTCCATTAAAAGCTGGAGAAGTAGCCAGCTCAGAAAGACATAACCTGAAGGCTAATATTCAAGCGGTGCAGTTATTATCAACGAGAGATGACTCCTCAGGTCAGACTGTGACTGACCAGGCATGTCACCATAAAGACAATAAAAAGATGCAGATGACTGAAGAGAAGCCCAAACAAGACACTAACATGTCTAAAAAAGGAGTGCTTGGCTATTATCATGGCCAGATTGTTCAGTCTAAGATTAATTCATTTAGAAAGCTTCCCAGTGTCAAAGG